CCCGTGCCGTCCCCTCCCATTCCCCTCCCCTCCCTTCCCGTCCCACTGGTTTCCCAGTCAGAGGCCACTCCCTGGCTGCAAGGGCCTGGTGGGCTCTGTTGCTGTCCAGTGGGGAGATTTGGGATTGGTGGCACCCAGACCCCCTCCAACCCCCTCCAGCCCTGTCTCCCTGATGCCTTGGAGTGGCTACCTAGAAGAGAGGCTAGACAAGGTAAAGAGAATAAAAGCAGGTATTTATTAAAGGCTTTCAAAAGGTGTACCTTGGAAAGTCAAAGCCTCTGAGAGGGGCTCCACTCAAAATGGACAATGGTCACGAGTTTTTCAGACATATAAGTTTGTTCTGTTTACATATCAGGATCAATCCTCCAATTACAGCTTCAGGTAGTGAAGTCATTTACCCCCACTTTGCTCCCCCGAATTCACTCTTGTTTTTACTCTTCAGGGCCTGAGGCAGTAGGGAGTCCTTGAATTTCCAGCCTAGAGGGATTGTTTTTTCTGTCCAAAATGTGAAGACAGTTAACTAACACTTTATATGGAGTTGAGAGTTATGCATTAATGCGGTACAGGAGTTGAAAAACATAAAGGCTAAAATCCTATGGCAGCATGCCTCCCTGTGTCATCTCTGCTGTGACACTCTCAGAGCAGTCATGGGGGAATGCTGAGCCCCTGGGCCATCCTGTCCGTGCCAGCTGTGCCGGTGCCAGCCCACCTCTGGGCACTCGGGATCGTGGTTGCTCCAGGGAGCAGAAGCCATGGCTGTGTCCCCTCTGAAACAAAGAAGTTTAAGTCTAGCAGCAAAAGCGTGTTAGGCTAATAAGAATTTTGAGTCAAAATTGTGAACATACTGGAAATTTATTTGCCATAGATATGTTCAAAGGAACAACAATTTTCAGGCATTTTTATACACACTAATATCCAAGATTTTTTATAGATACTCCCGAAAGGGCTCCCAATTTATTACACCTTGGTATAGGTGTTTTGGTACTTTTTTATAGATACTCCCAAAAGTGCTTCCAATTTTATTATATCATGGTATAGGTGTTTTGGTTCTTTTAATATTAACAGAATATTGTTGCTGCTAAAGATCAATAGATCACACGGACACAGGTTGAGGTGTGGTGCAAGAAAGAGCAGAGTTTATTTTTCCTCCCAGGATTTATAGGCTTCTGACCATGGCCAGGGATTGGAGGGTCAGGATAACACTTTCGCACTGCACTGGCCATGAGAGATGCCCATCACAAGACGTGTAACAGAAAGAATGTACACATATCTATGTTTACAGTTACTGTCTTGGGAAAGTCTTTAGAAAACTATGTTAGCAAGCTCAGAAGCTGAGTTTTCAGGGCGACAGAATATGTTGTCTATCTTAGATTAATGGTTAACCCAGGTTTCTTCCAGCTAAACCATGTTTTATTGGCGGTGCTGGCAGTGCTGGTGAAGCTTCTGGGTGCTTATCAGAAACAACTCCCTTTCTGGGAAGAGGTCTGGGATCATTGCCAAAACCTGCCCTGGGCCTGAGGAAGCACAACTAAGCCAAAAATTCCCATTTCTGTCATTCTACTGCAGGCTCACACAGCCCAAGGGAAGGACAGCAAACAGCTGCTTTGTGTTGATTTGGCACAGCTGGGTTTTTTGGTAGCCGAGGAGTGCCACAGAAAGTGGCTCCTGTGAGAAGCTGCTGGAAGCCAATCACTGATGGCTCTGAAGATGGACATGCTGCTGGCCCAATCAGAGAGGCTGGTAACTCTTTTGTGATGACACATTGAAGAAGAAAGTCAAAGCAGCGCACACACAGTTTTTACCAGGGGTGGCGAGGTGCTGCTGCTGGGGCCATCCCGGTGCGGTGTGTGGTGATGCGCCGTGGCCGGGGCCATCATGGTACCTTCAGGCAGCAGTTTTTCTTGTAGCGAGAGAAGAGAGGGAAGTGAGAACGTGAGGGAAAACAACATGGCAGCACCAAGGTCAATGGAAAAAAAGAGGGGGAAGAAGTGCTCCAAATGTCACAGCTGAGATCACTCTGCAAGCCGTAGTGAGGACTATGATGAAACAAACTCTAGCCTGGCAGTCCATGAAGTCTGTGGGGGATGCAGAAATCCACTCACAGCTTCCAAAGAAGAGCAGCCTGGTCATTTGGAGGACTGCACCCCATGGTAGCGTGACCCACAGCTTAACAGTTTTGTGAAGACTGCCCATGGGAGGCACTCATATTGCAACAATTTTGTCAGGACTGCTGCTTGTGAGATTAGAGCCACACTGGAGAAGTTCATTGAGAAGTGTTTCCATGGGAGAGACCCATTGACATAGCAGAAAAATCTCCTCTCCCTGAGTGAACAGAAGAATATCTCAAGTGACAAACTGACCAAAACCCCTGTGCCCTGTCTCCCTCCATTGTTGGGGGGATGGAGCTGGGGGGGGAAAAAGGTCTTTTAATGTTTTATTTATTTCTCATTATTGTCCTCTGACTCTGTTAATAATAAATTTACTTAATACCATTAAATTTGAACCTTTTATTTTTGACTCTTAGATTATTTTTTCTCCCAGTCCTCATCTCAACTCATGAGGCCTTTGTTAATTTTTGTTTCCCTTTCCTCTGCCCAGCTGAGAGCAAGAGAAGGTGATTGAACAGTTTTCACATGTGCCTGGAGTTTGGCCAGTGTCAAACCATGACATGCTTGCAGCCAGGTTATCAAGCATTAGAGCCCACATTACTTACTGCCAATAACCTTGATGATGTAATGAAAGGAATTGGAGAGCAGATTTTGGGGTGCTGTATTTGCCCTTCCAGCCCTTTACCAGAGCTCCTCCTCCTCCTCAGTTTTGGGAATACTTGTGGTTGTTTTTACCTGATCTTACCCCTTTGCAAGCAGGGACACCTTCCACTAGACCAGGTTGCTTCAAACCTCATCCAACCTGGCCGGGAACATTTCCAGGGATGGGGCGGCCAGAGCATCTCTGGGAACCTGTGCCAGGACACAGGTTCTTCCCTCACGGGGAAGAATTTCTTCCCAATCTTCCACTCAAACCTGTTCTCTGGCAGTGGGAAGCCATTCCCCCTTGTCCTGTCACTTAGTGGGAAGCCATTCCCCCTTGTCCTGTCACTTCAGGCCCTTGTCCAAACTTCCTGTCTAGTTCTTGGAGCCTCTTTAGGCTCTGGAAGGGGCTCTGAGGTCTCCCTGAAGCCATCCCTTCTCCAGGATGAACACCCCTGTCTCAGTGACCTCAGCAAAGCCTCAGGGAGAGGGTTAATGCCCCAGAGACCATGGTGACAAATGCAGATGTCACCCTGCTCCTGGAAGGGGGCGGCTGTGCTGAGCACCACGGACTCCCCTCCCCTTGCAGCTGCACCATCCAGGCCTGCTGAGGGAGAACCTGTGCCAGGGCCTCTCCACCCTCACAGGGAAGAATTTCTGAAGGCACAAAACCACCTGCAAGGATATAAGTAAAAATCAGGTTTCATATTAAGCAACAGCACACCAAAGTACTATTCCTGAGTGTTTGTGTGTGTGTTCAGGTGTGTGACAAAAGGACTGTGAGGGTAAGGATGAAAAGGAAAATGGCCTAAAAGCTTTAAAGCACTCAAACTTAACAGTACTTCAGTTATATCCTAAATTTAGCAGTTCAACAGAGGAATAACACTTAGCAGTATTTGACCTACCTTATGCCATATACTTTCTTACAGGCGCACCCAGACAGAAAGAGTCAGTGCAAGGTCCCTGTGGGAAATTCCCCTTGGAGGCAGTGAAATGCTCACTCCGGATGCCTTTGCATCTCCTCGCTGTGCCAAGGGTTGAGCCTGGAGCAGTGTGGGGATCGGTTTAGGATCTGTCGTTGTTTGGGCATCCCTGAGGGCAGCAAATGGGAGAGGTCCCAGCTCGGAGAGGCCCCAGTTCGAGGGAGGTTCTGGCCAGCGCTGCTGGGGCCCAGCAGAGCTCCAAGGGTCTCCTTTTGGACCGCTGTTCACAGAGCACCAAGAGATGGGCTTCAGCCACAACAATGTTTCACCCTGGCCACACTTTGGGCCAGCAGCTTTCTGTGGAAGTGTGAGAGCAGGGATGTTGTGCCATTCAGGGATGTAAAATCATTTCCAAGGCTGTTCACAAAACCTCAGCAGGTCGTTGGAGAGCAGCAGTTCCTGGGAGCAGAGGGCATTTCTGATCAGTGCCAGAGGAGCTGAGCCCAGGGGCTGCTCCTCAAGGCTGAGGCCTCACAAGCCTGTAGGAGAGTCCAGTGTGGCCTGAAAAGGGGGTGGGGGATGCACCAGCACAGGGAGGGTGATCCTGTGGATATTTATTGATCAGGTGACTCAAGGAATCTTGTGGAGGCCAGGGAACCGGCCACTTCAGAGGTCCTGGCTCTCCCCTGGAGTACTACTCCCTAGGCGAGACACTTTTATGTCATGCAGAGAAAAAGTGTCAGTCCCAGAGGCCCTAGAGTTGAACATGTTAATTTGTTAAACCCCATTAGTTTCCCTCCCTATCAATCCACCCCGATACATGTATCTAAGTTTCCCCCGCCCCTCTCCTCCTCTATAAATACCCCGGTTTCTCCCCAGTTCGATGAGCTGCTGTCACTGGCTCTCTTCACTGAGGGCCCTGCTATAATAAAGGCTATTTCTCAGTGGAATGCCATACAGCATTCTAGTCTCTCTCTCCGCGTCGCCTGCACGCTGCCGCTGAGCTGAAATCACTCGCCGGGCAGAGGACGTGCCTGTGCCCCTGGGCAGTCCTTTTCAGGACGGCTTCTTCAGGGTAGTTGTGGCACCCCTGCCATCGACACCGCTGTGGCAAGTGGCGCCCAACGTGGGGCAGACGAAGAGCCCCTGAAGAAGCGTCCACCTGCAGTTTTAACTGCAGAGCGTGCCGCTGTTGGAGCTGCCACCCCCCGAGGAGAACCTCTTGTGTTCTAGCAAGAGGCAATCCAAAGGGCTGCGACCGGGACCCTCGCTGACCATCTGGGGCTAGAAAGACAGAAGATAGAAGAGCCCTTGAGGACCGGCCGCCAGGTGACCACCCACCCACCAGCGTTCTGTTGGCCTCATCGGCATCGGCTGGAGAAAAAGTGTGAGTCACCCCATTCAGGGTTTTTTGGGCCTTTCTCATTTTCGTTTGCATTTTGCTGCTGGGTGGGGAGTGAGAAGGATCGGGAATCAGCTTTCCAGACCCAAGCTGACCCCTCCTGAGAAGGACTTTTATATCCAAGTTGTGGGCACCCTCAAAGCGGGAAATTTTAAGTTTTCAAAAGGGGAGTTAAAGAGATTTATTCATTGGATTTTCAAACATTTTAAGGTTGATTCTAATTCTGTTAAATCGGGAAAATTTTGGGACAATGTGGGGAGAAAGTTATATACTGTTCAGGCAGGGGGAGATTTATGAGTTGCCAAGTTTTTTCCTTTGTTTCAAACCATTATATTTTCTGTTGACAAAGAGGGGAAAAAGGGTTGATGAAGTTTCGGGTCCCCACTTGAAATCCCCATCCCCATTACCCTCTCCAAGTGTTCCTAAACACTCTTCCCTACCTGAGGGACAGTTGGCGGGCGGACGTAGCCACCAGGCACAGGGTTGCTGCTATCTCCCTGACACCCTCCCACCGCCTCTCTACCCTTACCAGGACGGCACTGGCCATGCTGCTCTGGACCTTTCCTCTACCCTCCTCCCTACGCCCACATAACCGGTTGCATCCCCCCCGGTTCTTAACATTAGTAAAGATGGCGCTGGCAATGTGGCCAGCCCCACCATCTTGTCTCCTTCGCACCCAGGTTTTCCCACCCTTGCACCTCAAAATGGCCACTTTCCCGCCTCTACCCCTTCTCTTCCTGTTGCGCCCTGCTCCTCTTCCCCTCCCATCGCGTCGCTGGGTGTAACCACGTCGGGCCCCTCCCCTTCCATCGGGAAACCGCTCCATGTTGTGGACCCCAGTCCCGCCCCTTCCAACCAGAGCTCCGCCCCCAATGGCATTCCCACCACCAGTCCCCCCAACACTGGGACCAGTGTGGTAATGACAGCAACCGTAAGGAAGCCATCTTGGCTTCCTCAGCCACTCACAAGCGAGCCAGTACCGGTTGCCAGAAATGGCCATGTGCTGTCATCAAGCGCCCCCCATCTCCTCCAAGAGATGAGGACAGTGAGTCCTCAGATTCTGAATATGAAGACCACTGGGCCAAGGTACAAAGGGAAGTCACACAGGCAGGAGACTCAGCCCTGTCAAAAAAGATCTTAGCTTTCCCTGTGGTACATAAGAAGGACAGAGCAGGGGCACTCATTAATGTATGGGAGACCCTACACTACAGAGAGTTACAGGAGCTGTGCAAAGCCGCTGAAGAGCATGGCTGGGGCTCTCACTTTTTCAAACACCTACTGGAAGCCACCTTCACCGCCCATGTCATGGTGCCTCATGATATTAAAAATATCATGAACTGCCTTCTCTCCCCAGCAGAATACATGCTATGGGAAAGACAGTGGAAAAAACATCTGAAACAGTTGGCAGATGCATATGCCAAAGGTGCCAACAAACCAAATTTAACTCTAGAACAACTGGCAGGAGAAGGTGACTTCCAGAAACCAAGAGATCAGGCCCGAGATCTGCCCGAAGCAGTGTTACGTGACATCGCTAATGCTGCCAAGATGTCTCTTTTTGTCACTCCTGATGATAAAGTGCCTACGCAGAGCTTCACAAACATTAAACAAGGGGCAAGTGAATCCTTTATTAAGTTTGTGGATAAACTAAAATTAGCAATTGAAAAACAAATAGAGGGCTCCCAAGCACGAAAGTAATTACTGGCCAAGATGGCAATAGTCAATGCAAATTCAGAATGTAAGGCAGTTTTATGAGCCCTTCCACTTGACCCCGAACCAACCACTGACCAAATGGTAGAAGCCTGCACCAAGCACTTTGCTGCCCCAACTGAGAATACGGTAGCAGTCGCAAAGGGAGTGGCAGAAGGGATATCTGGCGCCTATGCAGTAGAGAGAATGAGAGACTCCAGCACAAGCCGCTGCTTTAATTGTGGCAAACCTGGACATTTTTTTAAAGACTGCCCAGAGAGACATTTTATACAACCACCTACCCACCAACGGTTACCCAGATCAAATTGGCGTTCGGGTAACTTCAAGCAGAGCGCGGAACGGCCCCGTGCTCCCACATCAAATCAAATGCCGCACCGCTCCACCCCTCCTGCCAAGTCCACCATCCTACCTCCATGGGAACCATGACCTCAGACCCAGCAGGTGGAGCGCTTCAGATGGGAACCTGGCGTCAACTGGTAATCAGACTCTCCTTGCAGCTTAAGGGTGACTGTTTTTATAAGATCCCCACAGGGAAACGTGGACCACCAGGCGGTCCCTCCAACATTTTAATACTTGGGGATCCAATTAACTCTCCGGGACAAGTCCATATAACACCTGAAGTCCAGACTTTACACCCAGGAGATGAAATTTTCATCTCTTTAACTTGCATAGACCCTCCTTATTTTTTAAAACAGCAGACTCCAGTGGCACAAGCCTTTTTGTTACCAAATGACTGTCTGGAACAGGTTCCCCTCAATCCCACCACCATGTGGACTCAGGCTGTGGGCTCCAACAAGCCTATCATAGAGTGCAGCCTGTTCTGTAAAGGGGAAAAGATCCATCGCCCAGGAATGCTGGACACAGGAGCGGATGTTACCATCATTGCCCGTTCCGAGTGGCCAGCCAACTGGGAATTGCAGCCTGTAGCGGGGATGGTTTCGGGAATTGGGGGAGTGGCGGCGTCTATGAGAAGCAGGCACAATGTAGTAGTAGAAGGTCCCGAGGGAAAAATGGCGACCGTCCGGCCATTTGTTGTGAGGGCACCAATCACCCTCTGGGGGAGGGATCTCCTATCCCAGTGGGGGGCTTCTTTGCGTATTCCCAGTAGGGA